AATATTTGCACGCAAGATATGAAATAAATTAATTCACATTTCACAAATCTATATTTCCCATTTGAGAATAACGTAATCAAAAAATAAATAAATATAATTTTAATAATTTGAATATTATTATTTTGGAAAAAGTAACGTGGTGAAAAAAAAATATACAAATGAAAATACACGAACTGGGTATGAATGTAAAGAATAAAACAAAATACAAAAAAACACGCGTAATGATCGTGAAACGGAAATGCATCCAACTTATGTATTACTGCGATAATCCTTCTCTATTTTTTTTTTTTGTTCTTTTTTTCTCTCGAGTAAAATAAAATGGAAGAGGAAGAAGTGTTGTGAAGGTAAAGGAATTTAATACCATTAAAGCTTCCCGTTGAATACGATAAATTAAATTAATAAACTTGAGGAAGAGTAATCGGAATAATAATGGTATTAGCTTAGTTTTCTCTTCTCATGTGCGAAACTTTCGATACAGATAATGAAACATTATTAAAAATGATAGTTACGTGTATGTATATATATATAGTTAATATAAGATCGTGAGAACGAGGATGAATTTTTTATTTAGTTAATTTTTTACTTAACACGACCGAAATTTTAATACTCATCAGAAAACAATGATTCGGTGAGTGTTAAAAAGAAAAAGGAATTGTATAAAGAAAGTACTACCATTATCATCATCATCATAATAATAATAATCATCATCATCATCATCATCATCATCATCATCATCGTTTCGTACATAGTTGAAGGAAAACTTCGTTGAGATTCATCCTAGCATGAAGATAATTAACAACGTTCCAAGCGTGCACGAATGTAACGTAAACAATAGGAATACCTGGCGCGACCTTAGAGCAAGTGGAAAATTAATCGTAGACTTTAATTGTTAATACGGACATATTTATGAGCGTTCCTTTTGATCAAATATGGTAAAAACGAAACTCACGTAACGAGGAAAGAAAATAAAAAAACGACGAATTCCGATCGAGTTGAGGAAATGGAGCAGACAAATACAAAAAAATTAGCGCAAAAATTTAACAGAAAAACAAACAAGAATAAAGAATAATACCACAGGTAAGAATAAAAAGATATAATATAAAAGCGGGCCAGAGGGGTTGGTTGGTTGATTGGGTTGGGTTTGGATAAAAGATTCGTGGTTTTCGTTTTATATTATCATACTGCGGCAATGTTCCGAACAATGGGAATTTCACCTCTCGGACAAATCGATAAATTGTTCACGAGGAGTAGTACGTTGCACTCGTATTATATACGAGTACGTTCCGTTGTCCTGGGCAAAAAACAACGATAGATTTTCATTGGTTCTAATACGATTACAATCAATGCAATACCCAACGCGCGAAAATTTCAAACGTACTTCCAATAAAAAATATACGACAATAATATAATATTTAATAAAAGATGAAATTTACCTGCCGAAAGGGTTGCTACCAGTAGGAGAGGGTGCTGAACTGCTGCCACCAGGTGAATCGGCGTCGTCCCTGCCGTCCTCTGGTTCACCGTCAGCGTCAACTTCGACGGAACCGAAACCAGAACTGGATCCAAAATCGGATCCAAATCCGAATCCCTCGTAACTTTCTTCTTCTTCTCGATTATTACCAATTAGTTTGATATTGGTAATGGATGATGACGATAATATAGCGTTGTTGTTATTGGTTTCGGTTGTTGCAGTAGCAAGTGTACGATCACATGGATCAGAAATAGCAGTACCAATACCAGTACCAATACCAGCATTGATATTCGAATAATCTCCAGAATCGTTTTGCGGATTGGCGCTACCGACCGGTTGATTTTGCAGGTCTAACGACATCGAAACCAACGAAGGTGGGCCGTCGTTGTTGCTTCGTCGTCGACCCCATTCGACGTCGTCGTCCTCCTTGTCGACACCGGCACCGGCACTCGTCCTTTTTCCTCCTCCTACACCTCCTCCTATACCTCCTCCACCACCTCCCTCACCTTCAGCAACGCTTCTTCTAACGTTTCCTTTCCTTCCCGACAAGATGGCGTTGGTTGTTGGTTCGCCAAGCAAATCTAACACCTCGACGGTGGACAACGACGGTATCGAATTAACGTTATTGTTGTTGTTGCTGCTACTATTGTTGTTGTTGTTGGTGGTTTCCTCTTCTTCTCGTCCTTTTGATTCTACTTCTTCTTCTTCTTCTTTCCTTTTATTGTCTTCGTTCTTATCGTCAATAGCCGTCGATGACGAACGGGAGCTTACCATCCTTCGTTTATCCGATCACGATATTCCCCACCTTGATTTTATTGGATTTGATCATGATTTTGTGTTTGTTTAAAAAAATAAACATATTTTTTATTATATAGACACTTTAAATAATAGGGTGACTCGAGAGACTTGCTTGAAGGATTTTATCTATCTAACTAAATTACTGATCGAAAGAAGAGAATTGAGTTGTTAAAGGATGCAAGGCAAAAGAAAGGTAGTAGAAGGGGTAGAAAGAATGACAGAAGATAAGTAGTAGGGAGAGTTCGTTCTCCAGGAGTGGAAAGGACCGTATGAGTCACACCGAAGACATTTTCTAGAGATAGACCAAAAAAAAAGAAAAAAGTGGTAAGAAGCTGTTCCTCTCTCTCTCTTTCTTTCTTTCTTTCTCTGTCCCTTTCTCTTTCGCACAAATTCTAGTGGGGTGTCGTTAACTCAAGCTTTTCAGGTCCAACTGGCCTGTCAAGTTCACGAATAAGATCACGCAGGTAAAATTAACTTCTGACTGAGAGGCGGAGCTGCTGTTGCTGCTGCTGTTACTGCGTTCCACCGAGATGAGTGCCCACAACTGTTTAAAAGCAAGAACTTGCATGTCCAACAATAACGTCCCTTACATCCCTTCCTTCCTTCCTTCCTTTCTTTTCTTTTTTTTTTTTTTATACCTTTTATATACACTTACTTTTCAACTAGGGATGTAAATATGTATGCTAAGTGAACGAGTTTGTGAGAAAATTGGAAGAAGTAGGAGAAAAGCGTGAGAACTGTGCATCGAAGTCATGCTACGATGAGTCAGGCCTGAGAAATGCTGAGAAACAGGAGGGACAACGACCAAGAGACGATGAAGAAGACTCGTTTTGTGAATAAAAGGGCTGCACATATATACTATCATCATCATTATCATCATCATCATCACCATATCCAACTTCCACATCTTTAACACTACCTCATCCCTCCCTCTCTCTCTTTGCAATCTTTTCCATATTGCAGTTGCGAAAATTCATGCATTCATACGCTCACATACATACACAGGTGTACGTGTAAGTTAAAGTTAATTACCTGAAAAGTAGGCAACTTATTTTGTATTATTTTATAAGACAAATATAAGATTATATTGAAATGTGACAAAAATAATCGAGAAATATATTTAGTTGTGGTGGAATGATATATTTAAGATTAAATTTCTGCATCGTTAGACCGGTTTGTGAAATTATCATTGGTTATTTATTCCTTATCGTTAATTAACATGTGATTTCATCGTTACGTATATATATATATGTATATATAATCCTTGCGACTCGTTTTCACTTTCTATTTCACGGAATAAAAAGGAAGTCTCCTTCTCTTAAGTTTGCACCTTATACACGGTGGGATCGTATTTACATCGACACGCGCATGTGCCCATGTGAAATGTTGCGCGTGCAACAACAACAACAACAACAACGTTTATATCGTAAATACACTATAATAGTTCCCACGTGGATTTTTAAAAAGCCTACTAGTAAAAAAAAGCTCCCATCGATAAAGGGGAAATAAATAATTGAAAAAATAATGATGTGTATGTTCTCGCGATGATAGTTCATCGAACTCGCCATTTTGTCGCGAATTTCCAACAGACAGCGCTGTTGTCGCTTAGAATAACATGGACCGAAATAAAATGAGAATCCAATATTTATAGGATTACGATTAATTATTAGATTATTGTTAAGTAAATTAATTATGAAAAGAAATTAATTGCATATACACGTGATAGAAAAAAAAAATGAAACACAAATGATGATGATAATTCGATTAATCTCGATTTATTTGGACAAAACGTTTGAACTATATGAAACTATGATTGCATTATGATAGGATTTCTCACGAAAGTTTGGCGGTCAAGCAACGGGACGAAGCCGTACCAGTCGGAACCGTTCGATGAGATAATCGCAAAAGGGAGTGTCTACTGATCATTCTAAAAATGGGCGTTACACGATATAATCTCGTGATTTCATCCTTATCCGTTATATTAACTGACAATGAGAAATAAAAAAAGAAGTAGTATATGCATATATATAGTTTCCTTTTTTAGTAACAAATCCCCCTTGAACTTTGTTTAAACTCTTAGGCCAAGAAGATGTGCACCACCACCATCACCACCACCACATTTGGAAACTCGCCAAAAGTTTGTACTCTTGAAATAGTACGAACGTCGAAGTAAGTTACTACTTGTCCAAGAAGATTTTGTTTTTTTTCTCTTAAGCTTTTTTCTATTTTCATAGAAAAGAAATAAAAAGGGATGAATGTGAGAAAGAAAGATAGAAAATAAAGGGGAAAGAAGGGGGAAGAAGAACACAGCGCGTGCCCGGGATCCTTTCCTCGTTATTCCGGATCAACGTGCTGTACCCCTTTCCCTCCCAAACCGCAATCCCCCCAATTCTTCTTAACTCAATGCACCATTGGAAAGCATCGAGTGAAATCGGATCAAGGATTCAAAGTTGATCGAAGCGTGACGTCACGTTAGATACTAGGACAATATCCTTCAGTGTTCCCCCCCCCCACCCTATTTTTGGGTTGTAATTTTAATTATTTATTCATTTTATTTTTGTATATATTTTATTATATTAATTATATTATTGAATTAAATATACTTGATCAACTGCAAAGTCAAAATCTAATTCCAAATCCGGTCCAGAGCACAAATATATGTTGTTCNAATATATATATATATCTCTATATATATATTTATATTTGATATTATTATTAGCTAATCACGATTTAATTTATATTAATACTCGTTGAAATATTTCTGAAACGTTTTGTATGAAAATAAATCAATGGTAATTTAAATGTAAGAATTTTCGAATCCACCGCGTGTTATTGAAGCTCGTGTCAGTCATCGAACGTACGTAGACGACATCGTATACTACGTTGGATCATTTATTCATTATAATAGTAACGTATGTAGTTGGTTACGATGAACCGGTGTATATATATATATATATACATATATATATATATGTATATATATAGAACGTACACGAAAATAGATAAAAGTGACGTCGTAGAGGAATATAAAAAGCAAGAAAAGAATTGTATACGTGAGTTGCATTAAAATTGCATTACTTGACGAAAGAACATTATGTTTCTTTTTTTTTTGCTTACGTAAATTCTTTCGATTTATCAAACTCGATATTTTCTATAAATCGTTTTGAATTTCCAACGAAAAACGCTCGATAAATTGTCTTCGAATAATTCTCAACTATATTCCATTATAATTCGTATATAATTATAATACATTAAGTTATATGTGAAATCAACGAAGCGTAAGTATATCACGGTCAATCCAAGATTATTTATCAATAATCTTATCGATCAACGATAATTAATTTTTTTTTTGTTTACGAAATAAAAATATAATCCTACTCTCTTTTTTTTTTTTTTTTTTTTTTCTTTTTTTTTTCCCCTTAACATTTATAACTCTCGTTGCTTGATTTTAATTACGTATCCCATGAGAAATATTATCAAATTTAATTTTCGCAGTTAATCGGTTTAGGATGCGGTTGTTTTGTTTTGTTCTTTTTCTTTTTCTATTTCTATTTCTCTCGCGTCGAGGAAATTCAAATAACTTTTATGTTAAAAAGTTGCACGCATAAATGCGTTTCGAATCGCTAAATTCCAACGGTGTAACGTTATTTAGAACAAGCTTGAAAGCGCGGCCACAGGAAGGAAATACGTTTGACGCTTCTCGGTTCGTTTAATTATAACATCGTATTTTTTTTTTTTTTTTTTGATATCTCGGGATACTATGTAAATAGTTACGATTACAAAAGTAGAGAATAATACAATTTTTTTCTAATGGCCACCTATTTGCATACGAGTATATGTATGTATGTATGTTATAAGTGTTAAATAACGTTATTAAAATAAATGAAATAATAATAATAAAGAATCTACGAAAAATATAAAACAAAAATAATCTAATAATTCAATTAAAAAAAAGTGAACAAGAATTATTACCATATATCTGTCTAATTATTAATTTGATTATTTCAATTCTGATTCATAAAATCAAACAAGTTCGTAAAACATAATATTATTCACATGATTCATAATATAACAACACAATAAAAGAAAAGAAAAGAGAAGAAAAAAGAAAAAAGACAAAGTAACATATATCTCTTTCTGAATCCTTTGTGAAATTTGATTTATAAATGATGCATTTCTGGATAATGATTAAAGTAACAAAAAAAAATACTGACGTTATCGGCGAAACGTTGAATATATCATAGAGAAAGCAGAACAGCAATATATAACAGTAACAGTAGCAGCCATTACGATTGGAGAACACATATACGATAGAACTAACAAACGTAATACCTTGACTATTTGCTTGAAAACGTATCTATGTACATATTTTTATATAACAATATAATTACGATAGAATTAATCTAAAAAAAAAAAAAAGAAGAGAAATTTACAAGTAATATAAAACTTTGTAATATGTGTTTCCAGTTTTTTTTGTATCCTATGATCCAAATAACTTTTACTTTCGTCTTTTTTTTCTTTATTGTTTTTTTTTTTATAATCAAGGAGAAAGATACCCCATAAAGAATCGAACTCATTCAGTCTGTAATTTTATTTACATACAATCATGAAAGATTATAAATCTATCTTTGGAATAATACTTTACAAATCAGAAAATTATATGTAATATGTTTAGAAATGAGAACGTTTGAAAGTATTCGAAATGGTTATCTTGTTATACCGAAGTGCGTATACCGTTGCAAAAATATTCTTACTTGATTATGACAAATACTGTGTGTTAGATACTAAGAGCTCGTCATACATACATACATTATACGTAACATTGCATACACGAAACATACAACAACGTTCTTTACAATCATCTAATTGGGAAATGACCGTAAAATTATTATTAAGTGTAGAAATAAATTCGGTGCTTTGATATTTAAAATTTATTGCATCAAAATTGCAATCATGTTTTTTTTTTTTTTTTATTTTGTCAACAAAAATTCGACAGAAAATAATGGAAATTATTATCGAAGAATAACACAAACGTATATGATTAATTTATAAATGAATACTATATTTGTTTAAAAAAAAAAAAAAACGCACCTAATTAGTTTCTATACTTAATATAATGATAATGATAATAATAATTATATGTGTGTTTATTTATCTTGAACATAACTTGTTTATTTTTTTTTAAATAATATCGACACTTGTAAAAATAAAAGTGTTTCGTTAGTAGAGGGAGTATTATGATATTAAATGGGAACTACACGAAGAACATTAACCGTCAGGAATTTTGTTCTCTTGAATTAACTTGATCCCAATAGTTTTACGGTTTCGTTTTAAAATAAAATTCGATGAAACGCGACGACTACGACCGACGACATATAAGAAGGAAACAAAAAAAGAAGAAGCGCAACTAAAAGAAAATAAAAAAAAAAAAAAAATGCATACACGTAGGATGCATCTTTCGAAAGCTGTCGAGTTTCGAAAAGAAACGGGTCCAAGTATTATATCCGGGAATAAAAGAAGATTGAAAGTCTTCCTTAGGTATGCATAAGTATTTTGTGTGTGTATATATATATATATATAAGTTAGGTATGATTACAGTTGTATAGAAATATACCGAAATACTTTCTTCGGTGCATCATGTCTACAGGAAGAGAAAGAAAGAGAAAGATATAGAAAAGAATGAAAGGTAAGAAGAAGGTCAAGGTCGATGATTTGGAGGATTCCTTAGAGAAAAAAACGGAGGGGGGTTTTTTTTCGCCAAGAAACGTTACGAGAGTGGACTCACCTTGAAAAAACGACGAATATGTATACGTGTGTGTGATTCAGAAGATGCAAGCCAAGGATGAAGAAGATATAATAGTAATGGAATATAATATAACGCGAGATATATTATATTCCAGTTAAACTTGTACAAAATGTGTATATACTTCTGCGTTGTCACGATTTACGCGAGTATATAAACGAGATTTATTCACGAATTATCAAGTTTGTAAGATGTTAATTGTTTCGTAATAGGTATCGCACAACGTGAATTATTATTGTTATTATTTTTAGAAGAGTTATCGTCAGCCGAGAAATTGATATAAACACCTGTAACGTTTAACTCGTCTTCGTTCGTTCGTGCAAGGAAAATTAAAGAAAAGGAGATGCTTCATTTGAACTAACGGTAATAAGTGGACAAAAGGGAGAGGGGAAAAAAGGAGAAAGAATGAAAAGAATTTAAAGCAAAGAAATAACACAGTTGGCGTAATAGGTAATGGTAAAACAAAAAAAAAAGAAAAAAGGAACGAAAGAAGGAACAAACGAATTAACGAATGAATGAACGAATGAATGAACGAAGGAACGAACGAACGAATCGAGAAACAAACAATCGTACGAATAAAAATACTATGAATAAAACTGGACGAGAAACGACGAGCGACACGACCGTACGCGGTGCGAGTCTTAGCGCGAAAGCGAGCAAAACGGCCGAACGAAACCGGAGGTGCGCGAGTGACCACGAACGGTCGCGCATGCGCACTAACTTCTTTTTACCGAGCCACGCAAGTGCATATACATGCCGCCTATCTTGGCACACAGGTGCATGCTGCACATTCGTACCTGCAGGTACCGACCGTACCAGTGATTCTCAACTTACGGAACCTCTTTTTATATATTTATATATATTTTACTCCCACGCTATCGACCAGGACCTAGTTTGTTTTTCCTTTCGCTCGATATTCTTTTACCTTTCCCTTCTATTCTTATTCTTATTCTTTCTTTTTTCCACTCTTTCTAATATACATTGGGGTTAACGTTAATTTAAATTTCACGAGAAAAGGAATGCGATCGAATGAATGATACAATTTTCATTTTATACACACCGAAACATTGTATAGTAATTGTCGTTCCTCATGCACAATTGAATTTGAAATTTGTTTCTATAGTCATAGAGATGATAATAGTAATAGTTATAGATATTAATATGTTAGACAATATTTTTTTTTTGTGCAGACGATTTCGCAGCATATGATATCCTTGCACGCGATACATAGTACGAACAACCGACCAATCGTTTTTCCATCGATCATTTTCTATATTTACATAGATGCTATTTAATATCGATCTATATATATATATATATGTTGACGAATAAAATTAACGTGGAATAAAAAAAAGCAAAGTAACAATTGGAAGCCCGGTCGTGCGATAGTAGTACTATTATACACGTACTAATTATGGCACAAAGAACTTTCGTTTAAGAGAAATTTGTGCATTCGCTCGTTCGAAAGAACGTTACGCAAGGTTCAAGTTGAACATCGATATCGAATTATTTCTATTTCCTTGATTAAAAATAAACAAGAAAATCGAATTTGCATATCAATGTAAAGAACAAAAAAAAGTCAAGGATTATTAAAATTATTCTAAAAATTATTACAATGACAAAGTATGCATTAACTAGAGAGATAAAAAAAAAAAAAGTACGCGCATTTGGAATGATGATATTTGTTAAAAAAAGAATTCCTTATTACCGTCATCTTCGCGTTTCTACTGTCAACAGATCTCTTCACAGCCAATTTCAATGGTTTTACGAGCAAAACGGAAAGCGTCATTGTCTCGAGTAGAAATCCACGCATAGAAAGGAACAAAAATGTCAAGACTATAATATGTATACATTCGTTCCATTTCGTTACGCGACCTTTTCCGCTTTCGACGAAGAAGAAGAAGACGACGACGGCGGCGGTTTCGTTCTTGAAGATTTTTAATACTGATCTTCGTTTGATTGTATACGAAAATCGGTCGTTTTATTTTTGTAAATTTGTCGTTGCAGCGGACTCTTGTCCGAGTTCCTTTTCTCATCATGCATCGACTTCTTCGTTACCTCTTTTATAAACTTCCTTGTAAACCAATTCTTCCATTTGAATTCTTAATAACATTCTTCGATCGGCCGGTAAATTTCTCATGTGCGGTAAAAGGCTCATGAAGAAATAATAAGTATCGTCAAAACGATTACCTTCCAAAGGATCAACCGTTAATCCGGTACCATTGTCGCTCTCACCCATTAATACTTGTTCGGGTGATATATTTTGCAACATCATTTCATCGTCCGCTAAATTATCCGTAACATTTTGAAATTCCAAATTATCGAAGCTCTCTTCCGGTTCTTGTTTAATGTCAACTCGATGATCGATACCTTTGATTTGCAGCGTACCATTTTCGCAGCTCATTGACAACAATTGATCTGCCAAGGTATCCCTGTCGTCCAAATTTCTATTCAAAGGTGTACCATTCTTGGTCAACATCCCTTCAGAATCGTTTTCTCCTAATCCTTGATCCCCATCCATACCTGCTTTTCCACGTTCCCAAATCGGTGGCCTTGGAAGCATTTGTTCCTTCAAGAATTGTAGACTCTTGAAATGAATCCATACTGGTCTGTTGCGATGATATTTACTTCTCCGAAAAAATCTATCCTTCTTAAGCTCGGCACGAAACGTGTCCCGAAGACCTTTCCATTTAGCCTTTAATACTGGTTCTGAAAGAAACGACAAAATATATTCCAATTAGAATCAGTTAATTCTTTCCAATTAGCGATTTAACGTAAAATACAAAATTACGAAATAAATATTTTTCAGAAAATTATTTCATAATGATGAAAAGAAAAAAAAAAAGAGAGGAAACGAGAGCTCGACGAATTGAATTATTTTTTCCATCACAATAGTTGTGTAGACGTGGATCTACTATTTTGTGGAATTTTTTCCCTGGTACCTGTTATACTACCTGAAAACCCCTAACATTCTATGGATTAAGGGTCTAAAGGTTCTTCCTTTTTCTATTTTTTATACATAGCACATAAGACTGTATTTGTAAAGGCAGTATAATAAAAAAAAAGAAGTAGAGGTAAGCTAAAAATATTCTCTCGAAAATAATTCGAATTGTAATAAGAAAAATATCGACAAATATTTGTTAAAAATTTCACTTGATACCAGTTAAATCAGTACCTTCAGTTGTCCTTTATTATTGACCTAATCGCAACCTACGCATGCGTAATATCGTCATAGCGACTCGCGTCTTTAAAACTCGAGTTGGCTTGTATCGAAATAGTATGATCGATACGAAATATTCGGTTAATAGTTTCGTTCGATTAAATGTTCTTTTTTTTTCTCTTATTAACGAAGAGAAATATCTTCGAATATAAATGGTGTGTATTAATCTCGTCGTTAATTCGATTTATGCGAGAAAAATAATCTCTCAATACACAATTTGAATAATAATCTCTAATATTTTATTTTTACAAGCTCAATTCTCTTTCATACGTTATTTGATATTAAAATAAATTATACAAAATTAGTGTTTTATTATGACGATTATAAGAATAACCAGTTAACAATGTGATCGGCGAAGAAAAATTATTTATAAAAAAAAGAAAAAGAAAAGAAAGAACAAAGTAAATGAAATATTTTCAATTTAGAATAAGATACGCGCGAAAAAGTGAGGTTAAGCCGGTACGCGATGTGCGTACGAGCGAGTACGCGACGATTCGCCACTGTGGAGCCACCACCTCTTTTCGCGTACCTTTCTCTTCCTTATCCCACTTTGTAGCGAATATCGGTAGGCAATATAAATTCCTAAAATAACAAAAAAAAAATAGAAAAAGAAAAACTATAGAAAAGATATTTTAATATATATATATAAATATTTTTTTACGGGGAGGATTAAAAAAAATCGATTTGTTGGATCACTTGTGTGGAAAAGAAGAAAAAGAAGAAGAAGAAGCAAGGGACGAAGTTACTTCAGAGAAAGGGGTGGGGGAAATCGGTTGTAGGTTCAATTTATGCGAGTGAGAAAAAGATACAGAGATAAAGGTAAAGAAATTAAATAAAAAGAAGAAAGTAAAAAAGAGTAACGCAAGGCACGAAGAAAGAGAGAGAGAGAGAGAGAGAGAGACTTCTTTGAGATTTAATACACGCACTGGGAAGTTTGAAGATGGCTGCTATTTCCATCCAAACGCGGTTGGTTACTTCTCGATTGTGATAGGATATGTGCCTCTGGTTCCAAAGCGCGGGTCGTTTATAAACCTCGGCGATGAGCCGATTCGCGTCCATCTTTACTTCGTCCTTCATTTCCCTTAACAAGTAACGGCTATGGTGGTGGTTGTGGTGGTGGTGGCGGCGACGGTGGTAATGGTAGAGATGATCTTGTTGTTGGGGTCTCAACAAAATGACTAATTCTAATTGGTAGAATACGAATTTGAATTGACAATATTTAGGGGGTTGAATTTATATAATTCGAAAAACGATAGGAATAATTAAAGGGGGGAAAAAAATTTAAAAAAAAAAAGAAAATATAAAGAAAAAAAATGAGAGAAAGAGATTATAAATATATATATATATATATATAGATATACACGGAGCGACAAACCGACGACGACAAAGTACGGGCGAATACTAGCGTCGGGATAGCGATTAGCGCGCAGGACGTTCTTCTCACGGACGCTGGACGATCGATTCGCTGTTTCGTTCTCGTCTCGGCTCGCTAGCGCTAGCGCGACTTCTCGCATCTTTTCTATCCTCTTCTTATTCTTATTATTATTCTTCTTCTTGTTATTCTTCTTACTTATATACTATATATGTACATACGGTTATATAAAAGAAAGAGAAAGAGCAATATATAATCACACTTTACAATTAATTGTTTATTCTATCATGAGAACATTTCCTAGGATCAATCAATTTATTTCTTATTTTATTTGATTTCAATTTTCTTAAATTTGAAGTTTTAAATTCAAATATAAATCATGTTTGAATAATTTGAGAGATATCCTAGCAAAGTTCTTATTCTACGATGAGAGATTGATTTCCTATGATGAATTGATTTCTTTTCTTTTTTGTAATTTTATTTTTAAACTTTCTTGGTTTAGATTTTTAAATTAAATCTAGAATGTATTTATTACAACGTAAGAGAGAGAAATCTTAGGGAGTCTTATGTTCTATGATAAACTTCTTGGAACAAAAACCGACACTTGTTTTTTTTTTTTAATTTATAGATTTGAAAATTATTATATCTAGATCATTTTTGTATTCGTTACAAAGAACAAAAAAATCATGCACGGTTTTGAACTGATATCGCAAGGTGCCGAAGCCTGTCTCTACAAAGGGACATACTTAGGTAAACCTACCATAGTTAAAGAAAGATTTGTCAAAGGCTATAGACATCCGGATTTAGATAAACGTTTAACAAAGGATAGAATAAAGGCTGAGGCACGTGCTATTATTCGTGCTAAATCTGCAGGTAAAAATTAATTATTTGATCAATTATCCGTGAACTTGATTGTTCTGTTACATTTCTCTAACTAATTTTGTTTATTTTCCTTTTGTATCAAAGGCGTACCAACACCTGCATTATATCTAATTAATTTGGATCGTCGCAGCATTTACATGGAATATATGGAAAATACTACAGTTTTAAAACATTATATAGATGAAAATGTATCTGATAAAGTTAATGTAGAACATATTATTAAGTTTATAGGAGAAGGATTAGGTTTACTTATTGCTAAACTACACTTGAAGAATATAGTTCATGGAGATTTGACGACTTCAAATGTTCTTTTGAAAAATATTTCAAATGAAATGTGGACCAAAGAGAAAGGTAATGTTTTGAAAGTTTTTATGTAAAAAAAAATAAAAATAAAAAGAACAACATTTGTATTAATATGAATTCTTTTTGTAGCTTTAAATCATTTTGTCATGATTGACTTTGGATTGGCACGAATTGATTCAACTGTAGAAGATAAAGCAGTTGATATATATGTTCTTGAAAGATCTTTGCTTAGTGCTCACTCAGAAGTGCCTAATCTTTTTCCACTAATTTATGAGAGCTATCAAAAACATTATGCAAATAAAACTCAATGTAAGGAGATAGTTAATAAGTACGAAGAAGTAAGAGCACGTGGACGCAAACGATTAATGATTGGCTGATCATTAATAGAATTATTTTTATTAAAGAAGGATTATTTGTTAAATATATGAGAATTAAATTTTTTTCCTATTTTTACGAATGTAAGTATTTGTTTTGAAATTTCAAATGAAGTACTTGCATCTATGAGCTTTATTTTTTTAAATTTGTATACTTTTCCTTCTTGTAACAATAAAAATATATTTTTATTAACAAACGTTCGACTTATTCAACTGTGAAAGTTGGTGTATCAAGAAGAAACTAGTTTAATATAGATGTTTAATACGATAAAAAGATTTGTATACGTATAATTCATTCTTGTATAACAAGTATTATCTACGGGTAACAAATTGTGAGAAGATATTATTTTGTATAATTAATAAAATAATACCTTTCTTTTTTTTTTTCGTAGAAACACCATTAATACATTCCAGTGTTATATATAGAAAATGTATGTTTTTACGTAGACAAATGCTTATAAAGTTAAGCATATGCAAATATAGAGCACTTTCCAGTAGGGAATATATCAAATGATTTTACACTTACAATTTAATTCGATTTTCAGTCCACGTGTGTATCACTTTTTATTCCTAAATCAGTCAAAATGTAGCCCAGAATATATGATGATCCACGTTACCTGTAAATAATTATAATTCAAAATATAGATCATGTCGATATAAATGACTGTAATTCATTTTTATGAAATGAAGTAATATACCAAGAAGCCAGCAAATGAAGTCATAAATCCTTCCTTAGTTAATTCCCATATACCACCATATTCTTCTTCATCGATTTGTTGAAAACTGTTGAAATATAGATACATTACACCTGCGTTGACTAGTACAAATCTACAAAATAGAATAAAAAAATAGAATGTATTAATACCCATATTAGAATACATTAAAGATGATTTTGTACAGTTTTGACTTACAATAATAGAGCTATAAATCCCTTTAAAGGTATAAGACCCCATCCTATACCAACGATAATACCGATTGCTTGTCTGGCCCAATAAACAACATCGAGAAATTCTTCCTGCATAAATAATAAATATGAGTATTCATAAAGATTAAGATGACGCATAAGAAGACATATTAATTGTCAAAAGTAAGGTTATATTTACTTTATCTGGCCATTCTGAATTTGCTGTAATTGCACGTGCCCAAACACTTAATTCGCACTTGTTACCATTCCCATTTTTTTCTGACTTTGATCGTGACATATTTGATTGAAACTTTCCACTTAAAAAATGACTTTTAAATTAACAACCATTAAAAGCGTGTGTTAGCGCGCTAGTCACACGCTCTTTTTGGTTCCACGTTTTACGTCGGTACTTCCGTACTTTTTCTCTGCGCATCAGTTTACGCAACACATTCAGCACATGTAATCTGTTTCTACTAGATACTATCATACCAAAATTTATAAAATCATTTAACACTGAAGCGCCATATAATTGAAATTTTATACTAACGAAAAGTAAACTTCGGCCATAGCCCTTAATTCGTAAAGATTATACAATATGCAAGCAGAGATTATTTGTTCGACCAATCACATTCGATGGCGCGCTATTTTCATATTTTTGAATACGAGATTTACAATATGAATCATATATAGATCGGATTTGCAAATTTACAAAGAATTAGAGGAATATTTATAATATTAAAGTTAATATATCATCAAAGAATATTAAATGAAATAATTAAATAAAGAATATCTTTTGTTAATTGACTATGTTGTCTTAATGCAATATTCAAATAATCATAATTCTTTTCATAATTTATACATAGATGAGTTTATTCATTGGAGGATTATATCTTTATGATTACTAAATATGTTATATGTATATAAAGTTGCTGATACAGGAATGTATTTGAGTAAAATATATAAATATATCACACATGCACCATCATACGCACAGAGGCATACTGAGTCAGTTGTTTTTCTTGTTTTGCTTAAATATTTACATTAAACCACTTTCATGTTGCAGGTGAATTTCTTATTATTTTTTGAGATCTACAATAGTTATTACCTAACTTAGATTCGTATATCTTTTTTACTTTTTCTTTCAGTTTTCGAAAACAAGATCAATTGCTATTATTAATTTGGCACAACGTGACAAAATTACTGAATTCTATTCATAATCAGTTTTAAAAAATTTGTAATGCCAACGCTGGCCTTGTTTTCTTTTTTTTAAACTATAAGTTTCACCTTTTTCGATTGAATATTGCACTGCACATTCTAATATAGTTTTAATAGTACAAAAAGATCACCTGTAACATGACATGCAAAATTTTGTATGAGCTTGCATAATATTACACACACGTACATGACTGAATGCTATTTTTATAATTATATTATATATTATATATCCTTTAGATTTTTTACTGTCTTTCTAAAAGTATCATTATCAAATATTTTATTAATTATCTAATCTTTATCATATTGATTTACATTTATATAATAGGTCATAAAATTTAAATATGGAATGTGTTATTGGCATATATTTTGTGGTTGAAAAAACGTAATTTGAATAAAACAGCTACAGGAGGAGAGTTTCTTTTTCTTGCTTAATATAGTTTAATATTTTAAAGATTAGATGTATGCAAATTTAATATATGTCATCCTAAAGGAGACTAATAATGTACCTTGCAACAATGTATATTAATACGATGATTTGTATTACCTTCTTACATAGGTTGAGGAATATGTTTTTCCTGTTTAATATGCAACATGGATTTCAAAATGCAACTTGTAGAAATTTGTGTATTACTGTACCCATGTAAATAACAATAGTATATTTTTCAATGATTACAGCTAACAGTGCAAACAAGGGTCCAATATATGTTTGAACTGTTGCATTTTTATGTTTTGTCAGAGTTTTATAAATGTATACATAGGGTGGATCGAAAATCATATTATAATCTAGGAGAGGATTTGATTCCTTGATTAAAATTAAATTGTAAATAATAATAGTAACAATTAATATTATCATTTAGAATAATTTACTTTTAACCAAGGAATTATTTCTATCTTGATTGTATCGGATATTCGAGACATCCTATATATGTATGTAATTTATATATATGTATATATATGCGTATTAAGATACTATCCCGCAATTCTATTTTACAAATGTATATACATATACTTTTCTCTATAAAAACCGATCAATTTTCTATATGATTATATATGTTAAATACTTTTTTTTTGTTAGAAAAGACAATATATTTAACAACTCCTTTATCAAAAAAAGAAAAAAAAATATATATATATATATAAAAGATGACTTACTCCAGGTCATTACTTTTCTTTATAACGATGTAAAGTATAAAGAATCAAATTATACAATGTTCCAACTTAAAATGCGACATTTGTATACCACTTTGTGAAACGTTATATTGTATATTTTGCATATGTTATATTTTTGTATACGTGATTGTTTAATCCCTATTATATTTCCAAACACCAAGTTAGTAACATGATCCGGTTAGAAAGATTCTTTTTTTAAACTATATATAGAGAGATATTTTATAGTATGATTTTTAGTTTAAAATCAAAATTATTAAAAATGATGTGCATATATGCAACTTATAATTGATGATAATAAAAAAGGGCTTTTTTTTTTCAATATTGAAATTAAAAGAGATCGGAGAATACATTTTGACAAATGCATTAATAAAAAAACATAATCAATTGTATACTCACATATTAAACATCGGAAGACAAATACATTTTGCTTAAAAAAATTAAAAATAGAGTAACACTTTTTTTGTTTTATCATACGTAATAGGCACTTATTACGTTGACATCTATAAAACTCCATCCGATAGGATAGAAATTATATTTTTCCGTAGCCAGAACACACTTCCTTTTCTCTAAACTACACAGTCTCTTATCTAAAAATGTACAGAGGCGCGGACAACAGATAAATATTTAAATATTAAAACAAGTTACCAATTTGTAAATTACTTCGATAATATCATATACAGTATTATATACCAGGCCCTTTATATAAAAGTTTTAGAGAAATGCAGAATGCATTGGCTGTGATTTAAATGGAAGTATTTGTTCCAATTATTATTTGTATTCATCAGTAGTAATTTAAATTAACTTTGCATGATAAATGTAATATTCTGTTATGTAATATACAATAAAACCTTCTAATGACATAATAATAGGAGACTAATACTTGTATAGAAACTCTTGTTACCCTGTTCCTAATGCAAGTGTGTTAATTTAATAAACGTAAGTATGTATATATATATGTTATGTCTGATTTCTTATGGCACGAATATAAACAAACAATGTGCTATTTTATTGTGCAATTCATAGAAATGCTTGTTTCGGAATATTCTTATAAATATTACGTTTATGTATATTACTATTATAATTATTATATATATATTTTTTTGACATACTGTCATAAAATCGATATTCTGGTGTTATACGGAGCTGCATTGTTAAACGTCAACAACGTCGTTGTCATAATTAAAATTTGAATCACGTAAAAATGAAGTGCGACGAAGTTTAAAGTTGAATGAAGAATCTTCAACCATTTTCGGCACTTCCGTTACCTGAAATTGATAAATACAATATAGAATAAAGTAATAAAAATGTTATAAAAATAAAAATATAATTTCTACATACATTTCAATATAATAAAATGAATGAAGCAGAGATTTTCAATGCATAGTTAAAAAAGAAAAAACAAAGAAAGAAAAATTAAATGTTACATTAAATATACAGTACAGGCATAATTAGAAATTAAATTTTGGCAATGTACAGTATATAGTATATAGCTTAAAATGATATAAAAAGCTAAAGGAATTTTTAAGGAATGATCAGAGTATTGTAAAATATTACTAAATATACTTTGACATATACAGCTGTCTTCTTTCTTCAAAAGTATAGAAAAAAGAAAGAAATAAATGTCGTAAAGTACCTTGGTAACTGGTCGGTCAGCAGAACGTTGAAGCACCGACCTCCATGGTGCAGGTGTGCTATGCTCTAAAATAATATATACAGCAAGGCTCATGAATTTAAGGCTTGTCATGCATTTCCAAACTATTTTAAAGCTTGTAAGAAAAAAAAATGAATATTTTGTAATGGTTAACAGTGATGCTCGAATCGAGCAGTGTATGCAGGGTTACAATACACCGAACGATCATGCATCTTATAAAAATGTTTGATTTTACCATTTTCTTTTTTGTCAGCCTTTCCTTTATTTAAACTAGCAGCCAATTCTCTGACCGATCTTTTCTCTACACTCGTATTGCTCAATGAACTTGCTGTACTGCTTGCAGATAATGTAGGTGGTAGTGATGCAGGACCACTGACACCACTATCAGTTGATTCGTCAAGAGCATCACCAGAGTCAGGTGTATTTCCTGCAGATGTATTTGGACTGGACCCATCACTTAATAAGCTAAATTCACCTGCGATTTAAATATTTCAATTATTATAATAAATTTGTTGAATTATTTGTCTATTCGAAAAATAATCAAATAGAAAACAAGTATGGAAAATGTTAGAAAATTTACCAGATTTCCTATCAGCAGCCATGCTCCAAGGTCGTGGTTTTGGTGCTGTAGCGGGAGGAATAGGTTTATTTTTTAAAAGAGCACCATTATTTTTTCCATCGCTGCTAGAGTTATTTCCTTTAACAGATTTTAATATCGGTGACTTAGATGACTCAGATGAATTTTTGGTGTTGCTGCCATTGGTTGGACTTCGAAGATCAAAACCAGTAGAACGTAGTTTAACAGAAGGCATTGCTTGTGCGCTAGATTTATCCTTCTCTAATGACGAATTCGTATTATTTTGTAATTGTAATATTTTCCCACAGTCTTCCGATTCTCGAGAATTACGAGATGTTGGAATCGATCCAATATTTGGTAAAGTATTTCGTTTGGAAGAATCAACGGAAGTACTCATAATACTGTTATTATATGTATCCTTACTACTATCACATCTGGACATTACTCTCTCATGTCCTTGAGCATTATCTGTTGTATTTCGACGAGCTAGAGGAGATGCAGTTAATGGCGAATCACCTTGTGAACGTCTTCCTACCAGAGGAGAAAATTTTTCTAAATTATCGCTAGACCTTGAACGCGGTGTTGGTTCAAGCAATGTTTTTAACATTGGTGAGTTACATCCATGCTTTTTATCTAGATCAGGTGGTATACTTTTATGACTCGCCAAAGATAAATTTGGACTTCCATCCGTTGGAAATGTATGTAAAGAACTACAAATACAACATTCAAATGAAATGACAAATGACTATAATCAATAATTATTATAAAGATATATATTTTATTTTATAATACCTATCATCGCTCGTAGGCGATATAAGTGGTGTAGTTGGTGTTGTAGGCCGGAAAAATACGTCTAATCCTTCACCAAGAGCTAAACCATCTACAGGTTGATCTGGTCTTAACATTGGTCTTGTGGGTGCTCTAGTTTTTGTTCTTCGTGGTCTAGATTTGACTAAATGTTGTAATTGTTG